AGTCCACACCTGTCACCCACTATTAGTTTTCCCGTCTCGCCACCTACATCTCTGCCAAATTGAGTACTCTACGCTCAGGAGCAAAGGAGTTACAGATTCACCGCGAACTACACTATTCTTGCAAGCCCCGCCCCCAGTGGGCGGAGCCTAGCTTAGAACACGTGTACCCAAGGAGCTTGGCTCATTTTCCTTTTTGTTCATCCCCAGTCCCCACTTATTCTAACCTGTCTGAGCTGTTCCACGTGTTTCTACGCCTTAGATACAGTGACAGTGATAAGATAGTTACAGTGAAACAGACATACAAACATACAAACATACAGAAAAACGGACATTTGTGGTTTATATATAGTAAGGATATCGGCAAACTCCAATCAGCCGGCCATTGACTTAGTAAGTTGTTTGCATTCTGCATGTTGGACTTTTCAGGGGATAGAGGACTGTTATTGTATAATTTTAAATCATCTAACCAACATTGCGAGCGATGTCTTCTGCTCCACCTTCCAAAGTTACAGCGTCAAACGACCTACCTGGGGACAGCTGCACTTTGCTGTTCTGAAGAATATGGTAATTCAATATGTTGGTATGGTCATCAGTATGGTTATTCATCTAGATCATTAGATTCAAATCAGTTCTTATGGACCGGCTCGATGGGACCGCCGCCTAGGCGGTTTACACTTGATGCCCAGCTTGGAAGAAAACTTTTCAGTGAATTTTACCGAAGAATACACTGGTTCACCAACCGCAATAAACAAAATTTAGAGTAGACAAACATAAACTGACCCTCACAACGAGCAATACGATTGGAAGTAGGAATAAAGTCGGTAGAATCACTTCGAACAATGTCCATACTTGATTACGCCAAGTAAGAATTAGATTCTTGCGTGTCAGCAGCCATAATTGCTGCAAACAGTCACACATGCCGTTGACTGAATGCTGCCGCTACACCAGCCTCTGAAAATGACTTAGTAGGTAATAGGTATACCGCGGAACACGGGTGATTTCAAAAGTGGGTAGCTCGAGCAGAATGACGAAAATTGTAGGAAAAAAGGTAAATCTACCGTGACGTGGGCGAAGTTGGAAAAAGGAGAGACGTAATCTAGTAGCGCATCAGCTACAACTATGGCCTACTCCAGGTGGGAACGCAGGTAAAATCTTGCGTGCGGCGTGCAAAAGGCTATGCGACGGCGGCGCTAGAGAGGTGTTGACAACATTGGACGCCGATGGATCACGTACCAGTGCTGTCACACACTTGAATAGCGCCGCCGTCGCATAGCCGCTCGCA